TATACCTTCGATTAAAATATAATTAAAATAAAATCCATTTTAATAAGTTCCCCCTCCATGAATCCATCCGGCTTGGTTCCTCTATCATTCTCATTCGTATGGCATGTGTCAAACATAGGTCTAGGGCGTAGGATATCAAAAGAATAATAAGCTTTTCTGTTACTATTTAGGAAAAATAGCAAGTCTAACTACATAAAATTAAATGCAATAATTTCTAAAAAGCACTGTGAATTAAACGTCATATTTAGCCAAATCTGTGGCAGTTTGTGCTAGTGACTATGCTTCAGGCCACGAATGTAGTGGCTCTGTTCCTAGGTGAAATGATAACCTTGGGAAAGAAAGTAATTTTATAGCTTAATTACATTGGACACAATCAATATCATTGATTTCAAGGATAGCAACAAAGTCCTAGTGTCGTCCAATCAGCCATTTAACTTATATAGAAACAGAAACATCCCAAACAACTATTGAATATATACCCAGGATCTTTGGAAAAATGTAAAGTTGCTCGCAGAGTTTCACAGATAACGAATCAAGACGTAGAGGATAAAACCTTTTAAGGCAATATTCACAAGCTCAAGGCGATGAAACGGAATCATTGCTTAATTCAAACATTCTTGTCAAGAATTTGTATAACTAGGTCTCGATACTATTAATTTTATTCATTCTAGATAGAGTAAGGTGACCTGAATGATAGTTTGGTTATCCCACAATTATATAAGTAGGCTCCAGAACAACAATGAATTCGACTTCGCCTTGCCTAATACATGGATTATAGTTTCGATCTTACTTAGATTTCATCAAGACTTTTAGCGGGACTCAGTGCCGGGTGACGTGGCAACGTAACAAATCAACTACACATCCATGGGTGCCAGTGAGTTACAAAGAAAAGTTAACACCCAAAGCAAGCCAGATTCCTTATAAATCACACTAATGGTTGGAAGATGCTTAATTTGTCTTGAATGTCACATCTAACAAAGGACTCTCTAAATCCGTGGTTATAGCGGAATGATAATGTCGCCATGCTGCTCACAAACCGATATTGAATACAGTTGAGATGAGACCTATGCGAGATGAAAAGTTTAATCCCATTCTGAAGTTGAGGCAAGATTAACTGGAATTCAGTGGCATCCTGAAGCGTATTCTTCTTATTGTGTATAAACTCAGTTATCCACCCCCTTAAATGACCTAAAGTGATTAAGTTGTTATTCTCCTGAAAGGTCTTAAAACAAGTTCGAGGACAGATAAGCTTGTCGATTATAATATAATTCACGCCACTTCTTTTAATCCATTTTGGAAAGGTGAAAGAATGTCTTCAAAATACAATAAAATACCTAAATAAAAAATGAGCTTACCATCCTCTTTAAAGAAGTCGGCTACTATGAACCATATTTTCGCTTCCATTTCCTGATGGATGTCTCGATCGACGAGTCCTTTTGGAAGGTGGAGACGGCGAACGCTGCTGGATTAGTCTGGCTTGTTCAGTATGTAGAAGATGATTTTCTCTCTGAGCTTCGAGAAGCTGAGCTTGTAGAGTGGAAACCTCGGTTTCCAACACACAAATTTGTTGAGTTAGTTCGCGGACCTAAATTGAGATACATACTAGCCATGAGTCAATAAATCTTTTAGTATTAAAACTTGAACAAATAGTTTTTAAATTAAAAAACCTAATCTGCGGATGTCTAGCAGACTAATTTTCTCTATATTCGATAAATAATACATTAAAATTAGTACAAACCCGAAGCATGAAAACTATTAAATAACAAGTCGTTTGGCCGTGTTTTCACAACTTGGTCATTTTGACAGAAAGACCTAGAGGAACGCACCTTGTCGGATTCCATTGTATACATGATATTTTCTATGAACTCTGGACAAGGTGCGTTCCTCTAAGTCTTCTTGTCAATATGACCAAGTTTAGAAAACATGGTCAAACAACTGCTATACAACGAAAGGAGACCGCGACCATACAAGAGGCCACATCATCCTGTATTTCATTCATTACATTGAATAACAATAGAAAATTTTGGCAAATAGGCTTTAACGATGCCAACAAATTTCATCCAAAAGGTATTCTCATCCAGAGTTGACTGTAATCTCGACTTCACCTGAGTCGCAACTACGCCACATTGCCATGGACAGGGCAGACATGGCTATCAAGGCAACACAGACCTGATTCATATCACATATACAGTGAGATTTTTAATAAGAAAAACCTTAAATTTGCCATTGCAATCAACTAAGTTACACATATCGATTTCGGGAATATAAACAATTTTAGATGTCTCTGAAAGGTTTGGTGACAAGAAAGCATACTCAATGTGAAGTCTAGATTACGATTGAGAAGAAGTCAGGATGAATTGTAACTCACTCGTTAATGAGCAAATTTGACTCGAATCAGACGCAAAATATTCCTAATTTGGACAAGTTTACAGCATTCGAATAATAAATATGGGCGGGATGGAGTATAGCTTTATCAGATGTCTTAATGATCGGTTTGATTAAACACCAACCAAACGAGCTAAATGTATATACGGCCTAAGACTAATAAAAGAATAAGATAAAAAGAAAATGCTAGTTGTTTAAGTATCAAATATTATTGTAATGAGATGTATTATTAATGAAGTAATAACTAGGCTGTGACAAAATACAAAAAAAAATACATTGGTAAAGCATAAAAAATCTATAGGGAAAAAAATGGACAAGATCTGTTAAAGAAGTGGGTTGATCTAACTTGGTCTTGTTGTCAGGGGGACATAGTAGAACACATCTAGTCCGAAGTA